CATCAGCAGCCTAGTTATTACTACAAGAAAAATGAATATAAAGAGTTAATGTGATTAACTATCATTTGTTAATCAATGTGCTGAATTATTATTCTTGTCAAAAGAAAGAAATTGTACTTTTTAAATAAAATAATTTCATCAATCTTATCGTACATTCTTAAGAGAATATGCGTAAACTATAATGCCAATTGTACTTTTTTAAACAGCCAATGTCGCACGCTGACGTTTTCTGTTAGTTTATTTAAACTGCAAACACTGCATGAAACGATATTGTATTCGAAATAACGAGAGTTTAATTCAGTAAAAGCATCACAATGAGCGATGCTAATTCATTTATTTGTATCAACATCATGTAAAACGTACCAAATTTTGATTCGATATACGCTATTAGATTCGTTTCCCTTGACAAGTTATGAAATAATTTTAACAAAGAGCCACGCAACACGTAACGGCTTTCGATTTGACAATCGAACATTTGACGGCATCTGTGCTTATTCGATTGCCTCATAAAATCACTTTTGAACTTCATAAATAAATCAAGATCAATGCATTTTTATATCACAAACACCCTATTATAGTCTTTTCCTTCTTCTCCTCCTATCACGAAAAATTCGTTAAAATTTTTCTCGTGACAAAAAGAAATCTTTTTCTTCTTTTCCTCTTAGGACGGAGAACCGGCTAAAACACTAAATTCTGTAGTTTTAATTTGTTATTTTTTTTTTATGGATATTTCTTCCAGGAAGCCCGCTGATTTAAATCTTCTTTCTGTGTGACTCGAAATGAAAATAAGAATCTAGAGTCCCTATCTGTATATTATTAAAATAAATTATGTAGCAATTGCAGAAATAATGAACTATTATCTTTTAACGAAAAAAATTTAACGAAAAGAATTTTTGCAAATTCTTTCGTACAACTTACTTTAATATTGGGACATGCAAGTAATACGGGCAAGGTTCACATCTTCCTCTAATAAATCCATCTTGAGAAATTAATATTTTTATTAATAATACGTAATAAAAACAATTTTGCAATATACAAATGAAGAAAAAAGCAAAATGATGTAAACGTTTGAACAGCTATCTCCCAAAAATCTTTAATTTCTTTAAATACACTAAATAATTTTTATTTTCTTTAATTAAACTCGTTATCCCATTCTAACACTCTATTCATATCAAACTTATCAAGATTCATTTGATCTTTCCTAAATGTATTTATTCACATTTATCGTGTATGTATAATTTCGTTGATGAATTTCAAAGTGTCTCTTCCATTTCCTCGAAGATGAAAGAATCGGTCGTCGTAGCGATTTCTTATCACTGAATAAACGGAGCTCCCTTTAACGCGTTTTTACACGATTAGCAGACTTTAATTCAGTTATTTTAACGGTGTTACGCGGTGCACGTGTAATCCCCTTCGGGGCACGAAATAAATGACCGAAAGGAAAAATCTCGGAGTTAAAGGTAGTAAAGAGACGGAAACCTGTTGTGCCCTAGCCAACTCCGTTGGCTTGGCGTGCTCCTTTTTTTTCCCCGCCCCTAGCCGTCGCAAGTTCTCACCCTCGGAAGCGGTGAGCGTTCGTTTCTCAGACAGAATCAAACAGGTTTGTGTAACCGATGTATGTAAGTACGTGTGTGCGCCGGGGCGAATAAAAATCGGTCTCTCATCGACTTCTTTGAAACTTTTTATCTCTTCCGCCCGTCGAACGTGAGCTTGATTCCCCGATAAACTCGCCTTACTTAATATTCTTCTTCTGGGTCTTTTTCCATTTATCGAGCACGTTAAGGCGTCGATGAACGTTAAAACTTGCCACCGAGATTTAATCTATCTGGTTTGTCCATCGTTTATTTATTAAGCAGCGTTCTTGCTTGTATCTAGATTGCGAATTTTTTTTTTTTTTTTTGCAAATTTATATTTGCGAAAACATAATTGAATCTATTATTGAAATCTATAGAAGACATTAAACTTTGAACATTTCATATATTTTTCATTCGCATTCTGTACAATTTTGCTATGAAATTTCTACTGATGTTTCTTGATAGATATTTAAACACATTTGAAATGAACGGATTTTGGAGAAACTGAATCAATGATGCAAACGTTGTATCTTTGGCTACTGAGCGGAGATACTAAACATCGCAATGGTTGCATCATCGGTTTTTCAAATGTGTTAAAGTATTCTGCAGAGCTATCCCGATCAATCAGCTCGTTACCACTCGTTCAGAGGACATTTCATCGGGTCCGGGTTATGATTGAACGTTAATATAATCAAGGCCATACACAAGGCGAAACTGTAATTCATCAATACGTCGCGAAGAATACGAACGAATGGACGCTGTTGATCACAACGAAAGAGAGAGGAAAAAAGCACGTACGTACGTGCTTTCTCTGCTTTCACTGTTTCGATACGACGACGGCCAGTCAATGGGGCGCACGTAGTATTCAGCTCGATAAAAAAGAGACGAGAAAGATCTCGCTAACGGTACACTTCGTGAATTCCTTCTCACGAATGAAATTCCTTCAAATGTATGTATGTTTCGACCATAGGAAAAAAAATCTCCTCGCGAACAAAACAGAGTCGGATCGCATATTTCCGTCTTAAAAAGAGAAAAAGAAAGAAAGAAAGAGAAACAACGAAAGTGATTGTTTCCATTTCTTTCTCAACCGGGATATTCACG